CACACTCACACACACACACACACACACATGAACACACACTATCACAAATAGACACATTTGCTTACACACTCTCTGGCCCACAACTTTCTTTTGAGGAACTTTATACTCATACATATGCCTATGTATTTGCTCTCGTACACATATACAAATTCCCATACATGTACACACTCACTCACATGTAAACACTGACACAAATGATAACTTGCAAACACATCCCCACTGTGGAGTCTACATACACATTAAAGGCATTCTGTGTAGCTAGAAGGGTCATAGCACAACTGCCTTGTAGAAGATGTTTCTTTTCAAGTTTTTAGTAATTGGTATGGTAAAAATGCTTGTTACTTGTCTCATACTTTCAACACAGAAAGCTTTGTTTCATGTTCTAAAAAATTCTGTTATTGAGACTTTTTCAGTTTTGCTCAAATTTTATTGTAGACTCACAGATGAGCACTCTTTTTGTGTACATTTTCTTGAAACGAAAAAAAATTACTCAAGCAGTTGTTTTTATGACCATGACCACATTCTTTTATTGTCTCCTTCTACACAGTTCAGCAGTTTCCGCCTGATGGCCCTGAAACTGTTCCTGAAGCTTTCGCATCATGTGACGGCTGACATCATCCTGGACAGGATTCTGCCTTTTGTGGTGAGTCAGTGGGTCTATTGTATGCATTTCTCTTCTTTGGGTGCACAGTGACAGGTGCTATTCGTTTTTTAGTTCCTATTTTATAAGTTAATCTGTTATACTGTTATGTAACAGTAGTCTCTACTGTTGTTCCATGCTCTCTGTCCATCTATTGTTTTTTTTAACTCCCTGTACAGGCAAATTTTTGTCTGTCTTATCTCTTCATGCTACAACTTCTCTCACAGTGTCAGCCTGTCTCTCTCTGTGGTGTATTTACTCCTTTTGTATCTGTATATCTCTGCATGATGCAATAACTCGCTCCACATCTATCTTTCTCTGCTTGGTACAGTAGTTCACCTTGTGTATGTCTGTCACCTCATGGTACAACAGTTCATGTTGTGTCTGTCGCTCACCTCATGGGAACGACAATTCATTACTGTATCTTCTATCTCTGTAGTGCAACAACTCACTTTATGTCTGTCTATCTGTCTGTGTAGTACAACCCACATTTTCTCTGTCTATCTCTCTCCTTTTGCAGTTTTAGTTAAAGTTTTACAGCTCTTGTAACACAATTAAGTCATATCAGTGCCGTAGATTAATTTTGTTATTATTACAAGAGAGTAACAAACACAAAAAGAAACAGGAGAGATAAAGACGATATAAATGTTTGATAGGAAAGAAGGAAGCAAACCACACCAGGGCACCTGCTGACCACCCACAATATCTCTCTCTGTAGTACAGTACAGCTGACTTTATGTCTGTCTCTCTCTGTAGAACAACAGCTCTAATTATGTCTGTCTACGTCTCCTCATAGTGCAACCCACACTATATTTGTCTCTGTCCTGATAGTGCAACAACTCATTTTATGTCTACCCATCTCTGTAGTTCAAAAGCTCACAATGTACCTCTCCCCCTCCCTGTGCAGCTCAACTTTGCCCAGGACCCTCTGCCGGAGGTGCGAGCAGCCACCATCCGGACGGTGACGTCCTGTGTGAAAAACCTCAAGAGTGTTCCACGCAAGTATGTCTACTCTTCCTCTTCCTCTTTCTTTCTCAACTCCTCATACCTAGCCTCTTGACTTCTTGCATGTAAAACTGTTTTCATCTTGGTGTCATGATACCCATTTCAAAGTTACTGTCAGCTTGGTAAGTAGTAAACTCTTAAAGCAACAAGAAGCTCAATAATTTGAGAAAATCTTAAACTTGATGTTGAAAAGTTTTCTTTACAAAAAAATTACATTGATATTTTGGGCAGGCTCTTCCTCAACACATGCAAATACACTGATCTGTGCATGTGTGTGTCTTGATGAAGGATCTTTACCAGAAATGCCAATATAAATTTCTAGTGATGGAGCTTTTCTACTACATCAAAAGCATTTTTTACCGCTATGTATGTATATGATGGGTGTGTCTGGTTGTTTCTGCTTCTTTACTGTCCGACTGCTTCAGTGTTGTAATGGTTACACTCTTCATTGTTGAATGCTTGAGGCATAAATTCTGTTTCCAAATAGGGATTTCTATCAGATATCCTCATCTTTCTGCTGAGATACTGTATCCCTGTCAGCCCTGGTTTGCCCTGGCAGAGTCGAAGCAGCCTACCTGGCTAATTGGAGGGTGTCATGTTCTATCCTTTTCTGTTCTTATAATTCATCACAGGACTCCTTAACTATACCACAGTAAAGTATATGTGAGGGTGTGCGATGTCGAAATATTTTTTCTCAGATCCATGTCCCTTAAGTGCACACTATGGTGCACATGAGAGGGGCGAGGGGCGACTGCAGTTCTGCTTTGGACTTTGTTCAGAAGGCCAAACAACTCAATGTCAAAGTTCACTGCTCCATCCAGATGTGTTGAAAAAAAAAAAAAGTGACAGGGATTGTTACAAGTTCACATATGGATGTTGTCAGTGGAAGAAATATGTCAACTCTTTGGTTGTTCTGAAACCATTGTCGTGGTACATCTCCTGGTTCTCAATAAAAAGAAAGGAGTCAGCTTGCACTGTACAAAAAATACTGTAGGCTAACTTGCCGTCTACTCTCATCATTTAAATTAGGTAAGGTTTTTTTTTAACCTTTTGAGAAATTTTTCAAAAAGCCTTTTACTTGTTTAGGGCATAACTCCATTGATATGACTTTTCTTTCTTTCCTCATGTGATTGTCTTGTGTATTTCAGCGATGCCAACGTGTTCCAGGATTACATCATTCCAGCCCTGGTAGGTTTTTTTCAAATCTTGGATATATAAATCAACACACTATTACATGTGAAATATACATGGGTATGTTTTTTATATCACTGTTACTAGCTTTTCCCAAATATACGGGTAGATTTCTCGAAACACTGTAACAAACTTTCCTAAAGTGTACCAGTACATTTTTAAAAACGTTGGTACCAAAGTGCTGTGATGCTGTGACAATTTTTTGATGAGAAGACATTTTTATCGATGCAAGGCCTCCTGCTTACATCTATAATTATGTCTTTAAAGCAAGTAAATAGCCATAGCATTATATCTTCAGTTGTTTGTCTATTTTTATACCACAGATCAAGCAAAACCAAAACGAATTTGTTAACAAATGAATGACGTGTGGTAACGACAAGAAATAAAAATTGGTGGATTTGATATGACCAGTTAAATCTCATCTGAATACATTGACAATATCCATGTACAATTATCATTATGTCAGTACTCTTGTGATCAGCATCTAGAATGTCAAGAGTGCCTTCCTTTATTTCTTTGTCTATCGCTTATAGCATAGAAGCTTTCTTTTTGTAATGCTTTTCGTTCTCAAGTAAAATAAAAAATTGCTGTCAAGGAGTGTTTCCGGTGAGCAGTGGTCATTATCATGCAGACTCGCTGTGCATTAGAACCTAACAGTGATGATGTTTTCATCTGTTGTCCTTGACACATATGTTTATTTTTCCTCCCTCCAGTCTCCTCTACTCAGTGATGATGTCCTTCAAGTGAGACTTACATTTGCGGAAAACATAGCCCAACTGGCAGACACTGCCGTCAAGTAAGTAGCTCACAAGCACATTTAGGACTCTACGGCCATGGGGGCTTTGTTGATGCATTTGGTTGTTGGTTTTCAGATTTACCTTGTTTGTGGGTGGTTGGAGGGCTCCATTGGTGTGTCCTACTTCTTTTCTTTCCATCTGTCGTTTCTGTCTGTTAGTATACAGACCCATCACACCCACTTTCCACACAAACTGTAGGATGACACAGCGACAGATATGTACCAGTAAGAACAAAAAAGAAAGATATAAAAGAAGTTAACTGTCGGAAAAATCATCAATGTGTATTGCTACATGTCTGTTGGTACATATTCTTGTATGTCATATCTGTATAATATGTCTATGTATCTGTCTTTATTACCTGTCTGTCTTGTCTCAGGTACCTTGACATGGCCCAGGCCCAGGAGATTCGTGAGGTCATAGTTCAGCTCAAGGACCAGCAGAAGGACAAGAGCCACATCTCTGACACTGTTGTTAATGTCAAGGTCAGTGATTTTTTTTCCCCTCAAACTCTTTATTTTCAGGGAGGATTCCAAGGAAAACTCTTATTTTTGGTTATTTTGGTCACGTAGGGTCGGCAACTAGAGTCTGTCAGAGTTCAAATACTTTGGGACATGTGCACATTGAGACAGTTTGTCGTCACAGTTGTGATGACAGTTGCACTTTAGGAGCAATACTATACCCTGTCATTTACTGAGACTGTACCTGCATTTTGGTTCACAAGCTGTTTGTGGGTGGGTGGCTGGAGGGTGGCACTGGTAGCTCCTACTTGTTTTCTTTCCATTGAAAAAAAATTGTGTTCTGACTTTTCTTTCTATGATAGAGATGTCCAGTGGGGTTTGTTTATAGTAATAAGGAAGTTGGTGTCTTTGAAAAAATATTTTGGGCATAGTACAAGCCGTGCTTGTGGAGCTGTTGAAAAGTCACTGTAGTTTTTTTTTTCTTCTTTGAAAAAAAAAATGAAGTGTGGTTCGTTCTTATTTTTCAGAAAAGCCCAGAGGAGCTGAAACCAGAAATCCATCAGGTGAGAGGTAGTCTGTGTTTAAAGGAAAGGTGAAAATAAAGTTACTTGGTCTGTTTTTTGTTTTTCATCTCTTCCAACTGTAGGCTCAAATGACTTTGAGGCTGTAGGCTCAAATGACTTTGAGGCAATTTTTTTAAGGCTAGCCTGCTGCTTGATCACATTTCTTGTAATCTATGTATAGCTGGTTCGGATACTGCTGTGTTTAGAGATGAGATAGATTAGACAAGTTCTGCAGACAGATCAGTAGCTTAGATAATATCAGATGCTTGGAAACTATTGTGCAGATTATTCAGAGAAGCTTACATAGTGCAGCTCAGTATTTAAGATAGATAAGATAAAAGTTAGTATGAGAGTATGTACAACACATAACACGTTCCTGTGGCACACATGTTATCAGGTGGAGTCCAACTACGACACAGAGCTCCAACAGCTCAAGGATCTGATCCACCAGAAGATCTTCCAGCTGCTGAGTGACCCCAACCACTCGGTCAAGATGACGCTGATGGCCAACGGCATGGACAAACTTTGTCTCTTCTTTGGCAGACAAAAAGGTGCGTACATCTGTTATTTAGCGGACAGAAGTCCTGTGCTCGTTGAGTTACATAATTTACCCCCCTGCTTTTAAGAAGATGAAGCCAAACATATGGCCTGTGTTTGTGAAGATAAACAGGTTTCCTCTGGCTTTATGAAAATGAATAAATGGCCTGTGTTTTAAAGTTAAAATGATTCCATATGTTTGCAAAGATAAACAGGTTTCCTCTGTCTTTGTGAAGGTAAATAAATGAAGCGTTTCTAAAGTATATATTGAAAATGCATTAAAAAAATGAATAGGCTTCTTAGGTTTGTGAAGATTTATGATCTTGAAAAAAAAAGTAAGTGAAATGTATTTGTGAAGATGGATGTTGTATTTTTATGAAGCGATGTCCTCAGTGAAAGCATCTGAATATAGACACTGACCTTGAATATTTTTCTGTTTCAGCCAATGACATCTTGCTGTCTCACATCGTGACCTTCCTGAATGTCAAGGTTTGTTCAGACTGTCAAAGCCACTATCAACAAAGATCATCATTGTTTCTTTAGACTAGCTATCGATATTTTTTTTCCTTTTTGTGTAATACCCTAATGCATCAGCAGATTATTGGGACCATTAAGTAAAGCATCTTACTCTTTTAAAGCTTAACAAGTTTTCCACAGGAAACAATCCTATTTTGGTTGATAAATTGCATAATCAACATAATGCTTATCATGTCTCGTGGCCAGAGAAGGTATGACAATACTTTTTGATAGCTGTGACCCATGATGGTGTTTTCAGTTATTTACCTTTTGCTCAGCATCTCCCTTGTACTTTTTGGGCGGAAGGTCTCACTTCTTTTCTTTCGCTCTGTTGTTTGTTTGTCTTTCTTGTCCTTTTCCAGCACTAAATGACCATTGTTGAGTTGCTTTGCTTCTCTTTACTCAAACGAACGAACCCCTTGTACTCTTTCCTTATACTAATGTCTGCATGTGTCGACAGGACGACTGGCGTCTGCGAGCATGTTTCTTCAAGACAGTGGTGGACGTGACCATGTATGTGGGCTGGCAGTGTTCCGAGGTCCTGCTTCCTCTGCTGCAGCAGGTCAGTGCTTGTGCATGGTCACTAGTGCATGACAGACAAGTTCAACTAAGTTTGTTGAACCATATACTTTGGGTATCGTTAGCATGAAAATGATACTGGTAGTCATATTTAACTATCTCCTTGACAAGTGGTCGAGTATAAATGCTGAACAAAGCTGAACCTTCGAGGACCCCATACACTAGATCATGATCTGATGATTTGTACCCTTTAATGACAGCAGACTGATATCTGTTTGACAGGTAAGAACAAAACCAGATAAGGGCAGTCTCAATTATTCCAAAAGACATAACTTCCAGTTGCTTCAATTAATCTTAATTGTCACTTGTATTCAAAGCTGCTGATAGATCTAAAAGGCTCAGCAAAAACATTTCCTGGACCATAGCCGGCAAGCTTGTATTTCACTTTTATCTGACTAACGAACAGTAAGATTTAAAGCTTCCTCCTCTTTTGCTTTTTTCGTAGCCTCAAACAAATTTTGACCACTCCCCCCCCCCCCCCCCTACAGGGTTTGAACGACACGGAAGAGTTTGTCATCACCGAGGACCTTCACGCCCTCAAACAGCTGACCAACCACCGGCTACTCAACAAGAACATGATGCAGACGCTGGTCTGTGACGCTCTGCCGCTGCTGGCTCATCCCGTGAGTACTGCATACGATCTGTCTGTGACATGACTCCCTGTGGTGCCTGCCTGACCTCTGACTTCTGGTGTGGTTTGCTCTTTCTTTCCCTATCAATCTTCTATTGTCCTTTTCTCCCCTCCTTTTTGTGTTTCTTACTCTCTCATTGTAACACCTCTAATCTTCAGCACTTATATGACCTTATTGTGTTACAAGTGCCATAAAACTCTTATTAAAACTTTTAAAAAGCTGACATAATGACCGTTATTATGTAGATAGATGATTTACATCTCTTTACCCAAACCCAAACAAAAGGAAGAGTCTCCTCTAAACAAAATTACAAGGTCAGTCTCTTTGTTTTAGAAATTGTGTACTTCAAATTGTGTTGGTGGTTGGAGGGTGCCAGTGGTCGAACCTTCTGTTTTTCTTTCACTCTGTTGTTTCTGTCTGCCTGCCTTTCCTGTCTTTGCCAAAAATGACCGTTACTATGTTGATGTATTGTTCTTTACCCATTACCAAAGGACAATCTCTTGGTTTTTCCTCCTATAGGGGGCATGGGTGCGCCAGGCCGCTGTCGGTTTCACCACGGCAGTCGCTCAAGCCTATGACATATCCGACATCTTCTGCAAGCTTGTGCCACACGTGGAACCGTTCCTGACCAGGAAAGCTCTGCAGTTACGCCGCCCGGTGAGTAGTAAGGGGACACTCCTTATAGTTATAGTAACTGGCTACCAATAAATAGGAAATCACATGTCTTTTTTACTCTATGACATATTTGACCGTATGACTGACATATGTGACCGTGTGACAAGTTTAACTGAAAGACATTTTTGAGCGCATTACTGACATGTTTGCCTTTGTGATTATATAACATGTTTGCCTTTGTGATTATATAACATGTTTGACCTAACATGACTGACATGTTTGACTGTCATGCACGTTTTACTGTTTGACTGACAAGATTGACTTTGTGATCGATGACATGTTTGACTGTATAACAGTATGACGTATTGGACCTCGTGGTTAACATTTTTTTTAAAAACCTGTATCTGTATGGTGTGTTTGTGTGACAAGTTTGACTGTATGTCTGTGCAGCAAATTTGACTCTAACATATGTTTTGACTGTATGTTTGGTCTCTGAAGCAAATTTAATTATTGTGTGTTTAGGCTGTATGTTATGTTTAACTGTATGTCTGTGAACCAAATTTAAATATTATGTGTTTTGACTGCCTGTTGTTTGACTGTATGTCTGTGTAGCAAATTTGTCTCTATGTGTTTTGACTTTATGACTGACAAGCTTGACTCTATGATTTGTTTTGCATGCTTATAATGATTGACTATTTGATGGTATAGCATGTTTGACACTATTACTGACTTGTTTGACTCTATTACTGACTTGTTTTACTCTATTACTGACTTGCTTGACTCTATTACTGACTTGTTTTACTCTATTACTGACTTGCTTGACTCTATTACTGACATATTTGACGTTATAACTGATATGTTTGACACTACTTCCGACACATATTACTCTATTGTTACTGACATATTTGACACTATCAATGCCATGTTTGACTCTATGACCGACATATTTGACACTATTACTGACATATTTGACAGACATGTTTGATTGGATCATATGAGATTTGTGACATATATGCAATATTTGCTGTTCCCAGGAAGTGGTGTTGGACGCCCTCAACAGCCCGCTGTCCCGGGACATGTTTGACTGTCTCCTGCGCTCCGCCCAGCTGGACTCGGTGTTTGAAGTGATGGCCAAGCAGGCATACATCCGCAGCATCTCGCGACAGCCACGCAGCGGCTACCCAGAGCTGGACCAGCAGCTGGCACAGGTCACACACACAGCATACGGATCATCAAACTCACTGGTTTTTTTTTTTTGGCCTCATCATCATCATCATCATGATCTTCGTGTCATCGTCATCATCATCATCATCATCCCTAGCATTATCCTTATTATCATTGTCAGCATTATGAATGTCAATGTTGTGATTGAAGGCATCCTTATCATTATTAGCAAGGTTGTCATCATCATCTTCATCATCATCATCTTCATCATCATCATGTTCAGCTTTATGTCAACACTCATTTTCATCATTTTGATATTTTAAAATGATAATTCTCCTTTCTCTTCTTCTCATCATTCTCAGTCTCCTCTTCATATTTGTCCTCTTCCACTTTACCTCTCCAGTATTATCTTCAGCTTAATTACTATCATTGTCATCTATATTGCCATTGTCAGTGTAATTATCATCATCTCACAATTATTGTCATCCTCATTATCTAGGCAACCCTCATTACTGTGTGACTGGAGTGGTTTATTTCTCCCTTTTCTTCATCATAATTATTATCACTAATTTTTATGGCCGTTGTCAATTTCATTATTATTATCTCACAGTCATTGTCATCTTCACCATCTATGTGGCCCTCATCACTGGGTAACTGGTGTGTTTTTCTCCCTCCCCTTTCAGGTGTTCCGTAAGCTCACTTCCTTAGGACTCAATGACAAGTCTGAGGAAAAGCTACTGGTGAGCTGCTCTCTGTGATGTTCTGTATGTGTTTGTGTGTGTGTGTATGTATGTGTGTGTATTTATCATCTGGATGGTGTGTTTGTCATCTGTCCTTAGTGTATGTGTGTGTGTGCTTGTGCATGTGTGTATGTGTGTGCATGTGTGGATGTGATTTGTTTTATAAGTGCTGTAAAACTCTTACCAAACACCTCAAAGCGTGTTCTCTTCCAGTGGGTGGTTGGCGGGTGCTCTAGCGTGATCTGTTCCTTCTTTCCTATTAACTATCTTTTGTCCTTATCTCTCCTTCTTCTTTTTTGTGCTTGTTACCCTCTTGTAACACCTCTAATCTTTGACACTTTATGACCATATTGTGTTGCAAATGCAGTAACACTCTTACTTCAATTAAACGTCCCCTCTACCGTCCCTACAGGCCATGAAGGACTTCTTGCTGAGACTCCATAAAAACAGGGCCGGGTAAGTGCAGAAAAGAAGACTGACTTGACGCATTAATGCTATGGTGTGCTCGTCATTTCTTCTTATTTTTTTCCGTTCCCCTGGTAGATCTCAATTTTGAATTTTGCTTGTGTGGTTACAAAAACCTACTGTTGTAGATTTTTTAGACTGCCAAGGGGCCGAGTTGATTTTGTTACCTGCATTGCACTTGATTTTTATGCATGTGACTGCTTTCCCAACTTTGTATGGCCCCTTGCCGTTAGGCAGCCAAATTTCGATTTCGAAAGGAAGTAGATGACAGAACAGGTCTTAAAGAACTAGAAAGGAAGACAAAGGAAAATATTTTAGAGAAGAAAACTTTTTCAATGCTGGCAGGATTCAATCCTGGAACTTTTTGACTGAGAGGCAAACACTGTACCTATAGACCATGAGAGCCCTTGTGCTGGACACTGAAGATGGGATGATATGCTAAGCACTAGCGCTATGGTGTGTTAGTCACCAAAGACTGGACAGAATCTACATACTAACTCTATACTATGCTGCTTACTGAAGTTCCTAGAGTGATATGTTCCTTGTGGTATTCCTCCCCCCCCTCCCCCACACACACACACACACTCTCACACTGGTAGTCCTGGTGGCTAAGTGTAAGGTTGACCCTCTCTGTGGGTGTGAACTGTTTTTTGGCGCTAAAGGGTTATGGAAGTTGGTTTTGCCAAGACCAGACCCCGATTAGATTTGTACAGAAGTGGACAGAAAATGTAAGTATGAAAAAAAAAAAGGTGTCCCCCTTGTGTAAGAAAGGTCAATTTCATATCAGTCATAGTGTACCAGCAGATGGATTTGTGTTGTTTTGTAGGACAGAGGACTATTTATACTCTCGGGTCAGTTTGGGGTTGACCTAATTGATGATGGTTATTTCCTTTTGGACGAGTCTGTGGTGTAGCAGTAAGGCTCTCTGCTGTCTTACTCAGAAGACATGATTTCAGTGCTTTTTTAAATCGATTTTTTCCATCTTTCTGCTGGGATGCTGAATCCCTCTCAGCTCAGGTTGGCCCTGACATATAGAGTCAAAGGAATGAACCCTAGAATCATAAACTTGGATGAAACAGAAAAAGAAAAAAATAATGACTGGATATAGAGTTTGGGCGAGCGGATGGACGGGTTCGTTACTCGCGGGCTCGGTCAGAGCGAGCGGGTAATGAACGGCTGTGCGAGGAGCTGACTGCGAGCCTTGAGACAGTTAGTTTTTTGGGTCCGCTCCACAATTTTATTCTGAGAGCGGGCCAGCGAACGGACGAACTCTAGGCCTAGCTAACAAGATACTCGACCCATTGTCTATTGTTTATTAATTTTTCAAGCCACTAGCGGTGCCACAGGGAGTGAGAGAGGCCGGTGACGTTGTACTATATGTGTAACCTTCCACCTTGCGTGTGGGTCACACTGTGTAAGTTCCTATTTATTGCGAAGGCAAAGTTTAAAGAATTCTGAAGGGACTTTTTAGGAAGGATGGAGATATTTTTTTACCATGAATGCCTAGCTACAATGTGGGGGCAGGAGGGTGGGGTTTTTTTTTGGGTGTAAGTAGTAGGCAATGGAAGGAGTCCGTCCGCCTGCCTGCTTGAATGCATGGAGTCTCTCCGTCCGCTCACTCGCTAAACGAACTGTTTTCTCTGATTCGTAGCGAGTAGCGAACTACTCTTCACAAGCAGATGGCTCGTTACCTCATGCGTTTGTTTGCGAGTAGTACCAGTGAACCATTCATTACCTTATACTATACTACTATACTACTTACTCGCAGACGCTGATTTAGTGAGCCCGGCCTGAATATCACAAAATCGCAAAACTGGATAGGTCTGTTTTGTTTGTTTGTTTGTTTTGAGTTAATAGAAGCATGTAGACAAAATGATGACCATATAGTGTATTGCAAAAGAAAGGACAAGACATGCATACAGGGCCAAAGCTATGTATGACCTAAATCATGTTGATGGGGGCATAAAACTTTAAAAATTACCATTTTCTATTTCTCTTCAGCTCCATCGAAGCATTCCACCAGTCCCCCACAAAGTCACACCCAGGGAATGTTAACATTTCGGCTTTTGGTCGAAATGTGACTCGCCGACACGCAGACCTGCAGAAGAACCGGGATCCTGTTGCCGAGACACAGAGTACACCGTCTGGGTGGGTGTCTTGTCCTCATAAGTGTCCACCAATGTGCCAGAATCTGGATAATAAAGATTTAAAATCTTATCTTTACTCAAATGAGGTATTTTATCTTAGTATTCTTTAGTGAGAGTGCGGTGGCGGAGCGGTTAGTGCGCTCGTCTCAGAAGCGGAAAGTCTGGGTTTGGTCACAAATTTTTTTCTCCCCCTCCTGCCCACCCAGCTGTAATGGTAATGGGTACTTGACTTCGAGTTGGGGAAGTAAAGACGGCGTGGAAAGGAACTGGCCACCCTACCACAATGTGCCGAAGGTCCAGGAAGTTGTCTCACTAACAACAAGGCAATCCCCAATGTCCGGATCGGATGCGGGAATAACTTTACTTTTCTACTTTATTCTTAAGTACTTGGCCATCAACTGGGAGGGAAGTATCTAAATGATAGCATTTGAGCACCTAATGGGTTGTCACTCTGTAAAACTGCTGTAGGAGTACTGAGAGGATGACTCGCAATTGCTAGGCATGGCTTGGAATTGTGTTTTTGTTTCTATGGTGTGAGTCTTTGGTGGTGAGGGTGACAAAGGGTTACTGTCTGTGTGAAATTTTTCTTACTGGGCCTTGTGTTTCTGTGTCCCCAGACGAAAAAAAGTGAAGAAGCAAGAGTCTGTTTCCATGGTGAGTTATTCTGTCTGTCTGTCTGTCTGTCTGTCTGTCTGTCTGTCTGTCTGTCTGTCTGTCT